CCACCTCTCCCCCGAGCACGCCATCCCCGCTCTAATTCTCCTCCCAGGCTTGCGGCGCCAAACAGTTGATTGGCGCTGCAAGCCTGGGAGGCGGGAGAAGTGGAGCAGCGACCACACGCTCGGGGAGGAACGCTGTTAAAAAAAAATTGGGGGCATTGCTTTTTGGCGCCCCCAAATCTTGGCACCCTAGGCAACCGCCTAGTTCACCTTAATGGTAGCACCGTCCCTGGTAGTACTCGTGCCAGTTATCTAAAAGAAAGGCGAAAGAATAATCTGCCCATAAGAGAAGTTTCTTCCTAACCCCTAACCTAACTGGCTGTTTATAATGGGTTTATAGCCCTAATTTATTTTATATATTCAGAAAAACACTGCATTGGAGGTCAGTGACGGTTGCTCTATTCATAACATTCCAACCATAAATGAAAAGTTAAGGCTACAATTGTACACAGCCTCTGCTACCCCACCCAGAGCCACACACACACATAACCACTATACAGTACAGAGAATCCACGACAACTTTGACTGTGCCCCAAGTAAGGAGGCAAGCATTCCAGCACCTGTCCAGCACTGGCTCTATTTGCCATCCAGGGGTTTTCCTAAACAGAGAGAATCCTCACGTGGCTGAAGGACTGCTTTATGCCAGTAGATCTAGCCCTATGAATGTTTAATGCCTTCACTTTTGACATTAGGACCTTTTTGACTAGCTTATTCACGTTCTTAAAATTCTCTTTTCTAACATTTAGTGTCAGGAGGCTATCTTTTGGTACAACCCCTCCCCCAAAGATAGGGAACTTAATTATATTAAGGTCACTATTACTGTTCTGTGCGCTAATCCCAAATCATCCCAAGAAGCAATCTTTTAAGGTGCTGAGAAACTGCTTCTCTAAACCTTATCCCAAAGCTTTTTGATCATTTTTATATGCAGGAAACTGAAATTATCCTTTATTTCTGTTGTACAATGTTGCTTGCTCTCCACAACATCATAACAGTTTTGTCCTTTGATGAGCAGAAAGGACTGGTGATGTCAAATACAGCTTGATGTAACATCAATTGGAAACTCAACTCAATGGTAAAAAAATAAAGCAAAATTTATTAAAAAATACATCTTTCCATCATATAACACACCAAGAATTATATTAATGTAGACATTATCAATGCAATTGCCTTTTCTAGATTTTTTTAGTAGGGCTATGCACTCCTACTTCTGACCCTAAGTAGGAAATGAACTTCACGATAAACGTTAAATATTACGCTATGTAGCCGGAGATCGTATTCACATCATTGAAATCACTGTGGTATCTTATTGCCTAGCTTCTACTGCATTAAGACCCTGATCTTGTACCACTAACTTCAATGGAAGCTTTGCCACTGACTTCAATGAGCATAGGATGAAGCCCAAATTTATTGTTGTACTGCTTCAGGAATGTAAAAATTCCACTGAAACTGCTCCTTCATTTGCACAGATTGAGCAAACACACCTTTCTAATAAACACGTGCAATGCAACAGTACATATATACCGCTAAAGTCTGTCCTCAAAGCAACTAGGATTAGCGCTGATTTCAGTGGGAGACCTACAGACATGTTCCAGGTGTAAGCGGGGGAATGGTCCCGCTATTGTGGGGAAATTTCCTGACTTCTGCACTACCCCGGTGAGAT